ACATAGTTGAATACAGACGAGATGTTTTCTAAACCATGAGATGAATCATTTCTGCTCTCAGGAATATTCTAGCATAATTTGATCATTAATTTTCAGTGATGATAGTAATGATGATGAAATTAAGTTATCCGATCTTCATTTACACACTAAGGGCTAACATCCAATCATTTATGAAGTTTCATTGTAATTACTCTATGTATGTATTATTGAACAATGTTTATGTAATTTTTTCTTGTTTACCACAAACATATTTTTGTAAGTTCTTTACCTATGTCAGTGGTGGTGAATCTATGGCATGTGTGCCAGAGGCGGCACTCAGACCCCTTTCTGTGGGCACGTGCACCATCGCCCCAGTCCTAGGCCTTCAGCTGTGTTTTATAAAACCTTTTCGCTTTAGGCCGCCGCCTAAAGGTTCAATCAATCAGTCAATTTCAACTTCTTGCAGGAAAAAAAAAGATCTTGCAAAGTTGGAATTGATTGATTGAACTTAGTCCCACCCACTGCTGTTACCACTGCAGCCACATCCACCCAATAGGCCACACCCACCCGGCACCCGACGATGCATAAGTGGGTTTTGGGTTGCAGTTTGGGCGCTCGGTCTCTAAAAGATTCACCATCACTGACCTATGTTGTATGTTGAGCTCCCTGGTAGCGATACAATTAGACGAAGAGTTATGTTAGGCTTGTGAATTTTGAAGCATCCACAGAAGCATACGAGGTTGGATCCACTACTTTTTATATGCCACTTCTAAAAAAAGTCTCCTCCCGTGTTGACAAATTTACATATAGAATTTTCTGACTTTAAAATTCAAAACTCAGCATCATCAAACAACTAGTTATCCGTAATAAATGAAAACTATTCAACGTCTGTAGGAAGAGAGAAAGAATAAGCACTTTTAAACAGGTGCTAGCCAAGGAAAGAAAACAAAAGTTATTTTATCTCATAGTTAAGTTGTATGTAACATGAACTGATTTTTTTTTAAAGTATCATTTTAAAATGTATTAAGGCCAATGAAGTATACAGTACTATAAATACATATATACTATACCAGTGATGGTGAACCTTTTAGAGACCGAGTGCCCAAACCGCAACCTAAAACCCATTTATTTATCGCAAAGTGCCAGGGCTGCATCAGCATTGGGGTGCCCTTATGGGGGGGCAGGGAGGTGCCTCTGAGTGCCCCCTCTGGCATGCAAAAACCGGGGACGCAAAAATGGGCCACTGTGCTGGAAGGCGCAAAAACGGCCATGCCATGAGGTGCAGATACAAGGCGCTGCACCATGCAAGAATGGGGCAGGGCTAGTGAGTATCACGCAGGCACTAGTCCCTCCCCATTTGCAGCACATGTGTGCTCGCGGCCCTGTGCATGCATGCATGCATGTAAAATGCTTCCCCCTCTCTTTTCTTCCAGTCCACCAATCAACAATGGTTGGTGACCTCTGCTCTACCACCTCTATTCGAGCTTGCTAGTCGGCTGCTTCACCTCCTTTGTGCTGGGCAGGGCTCCTGCTCTGGGCAGCAGTGGTGGCCTGATGCACCTGCTGCTGGCGGCGGTGGCGCATGTGCCAGCAGAGAGGGCTCTGAGTGCTGCCTCTGGCACACGTGCCATAGGTTCGCCACCACTGTACTATACCCATCATGCTATTTCCTTTCAGGCTCAGCATCCTAATGCAGTGAACAAAACAAAAGAATAAGAAATGGTACAAAAAATTAAAGGCATGACATAAGAAAAAGAAATGTAACTAAAACTAGTTTACACTAACACCCTTCACTTACCATTTCTGTTTTTGCAAAGAATCCTTCATTCTATTACATAAATAAATTGTTTCATTCATTCCCTTTTGTTCTTTAAAATTCTCAAGTCTCTATATCCATACACTTTTACTTCATAAGTTTTGGACCTCATTTTTTCTCTTTATCTAACACAACCATCTCAATGAATCTTCTTTCTTATTGATCACTCAAACAGCATTGATCATGCTGACTGATTACCTCTAGTAACACTTCTGCTGTGCAAGCTGCACTAGTTACTAGTAGTTTTCCAGATCCAAATCAAACTGATGGTTGTTACTTAAAAAAATATTAATGGCATAAATGTTGGCAGTCTATGGGACCACCTGCCTCCAATTGTTTCTGTTTCACATGAAAATCTGTTTCTGTTTGGTATACTAGTTAAGTTACTGGCCTAGAAACCAGGAGATAGTGAATTCTGCCTTAGATATGAAAACCAGCAAAGTGACTTTGAGCTAGACACACTCTCTCAGCCCAATGCATCTCACAGGGTTGTCGTTGTTGTTGAGACAATAGGAGGAGGAAGGAATATTAGGTATGTTTGCCTTCTTGAGATCCTTGTGAAGTAATAGAGACAGGATAAAAATCTGTTAAATAAATGTACTACTAGAATGCTGTCTAGAAAACAAATGGAAAACAGACTTCAAAACACCAATTTTTAGATTTCCTAATTGCTCCTCTGAGTAGGAGGTTCTCATTTTTCTTCTAAATAATCAAGCTTCAGCAGATAGACTTTAATTCTTATATTAATTTTAAACATAAAATTAAAATGTTTATAGTTAAAATAAGAATTAAAGTACTTCATCTTTCCAATAATCTTTGTAAATTTTAGCAATAACCATAGCTTGTAGAAATCTTGATGTTTTCTTTGCACTACTAATTGCTTCAGCCTTTTTTGTGTAAGCTTTAATTTTTATTTCCTATGTGATTTGTTATAATATGACCACTTTTTAAAATATTTATAGTTGACCTTAAGTAAATAAAGTTATGGTCCTAAACTAATATTCCTCTAACATTGCTACAAACAGTTCATACATTTGTTCATATTAAACATCCAAATTATATCAGCCACATATGTCTTACTCCCTCAATCATTTGCTGAGCATTCTGTTTATTCTCACACAAACATCACTTCAATCATACAGTGCTATTATCACATTTAGCAATCAACCTTCAACTCCAAATTTGTGTAATTCTTCAACCTTTTATCATATACTTCCTATAAATCAACAAACTTAAGATAATCTCTCTTGTTCACATTCTGTCAAGTTCTTAGAGGCCAATTGAAAACCACTTGAAGTTCTGGAATGATATTTACCACAACTACTTAAAGGAATAGAATCTTGAAAGCCTGCCAACATAATTCTCCATATCAGCATATACCTACAAAAATTAAGGCAAAGTTACTCTAAGCTCTTTTTCTTATTTGGACCATAGAATCTCTTCTATAATGGACTTTTTCCTTCCCTCCTTGTTTCAAGGTCTATTAGATATTCCACCATGCTACCTGTAATGGTATGTAAAAAATGATCTTGCCATACTGGGCAAAGGGATACTGCAAAGGAAATGGTAAAGTAAGAGACAGCATAGCCTGGAGACAAATAGTAGGCAGGGCAAGAAGCTCAAAAGAGACCCTCCGTAGTTTCTCAGGGTGTAAGGGAGTTGGGGGAACAGGAAAGAATTTTACTTTCATACTTGCATGATTCCGTGAATGTAGATTTACAATAAAGAGGAAATAGCTCAACTGGTTGTGGCCCCTACCTAGTTTACCCTGTGAGGCCAAGACTTCCTCCCTCATTAGACTCACTTTCCCTCTCCACTATGAAATACACTGAGGAAAAACAATTCCCTATTTCTCCCCAGTAAATGAAAACAGTCATGTGTCAATTAAATTTAGCAGGAATCTTGGTAAACAAAATATTTTATAAAACTATAAAAATAATGATTATACATTTACAATAATAAATTACCTTTATGATTGTTATATGATAATTGATGTCATGCTGAACAAATATACAAGCTGTATGAGAATAACATCTCATCATTTCTTCTTTTTTTTCAGACAGAAACAAATGTTCTAGATGCAACAACACATTCTATCCAAATAAGAAACATGATTTTTGTATTCCCAAAACTGTTAGTTTCTTGACTTATAAAGAACCATTAGGGATCACTTTAGCCTGTCTTGCACATTCTTTTTCTTTGTCTACTGTACTTGTGTTTGGAGCATTTATGAGGCACCATAACACTCCCATTGTGGTAGCCAACAACCGGGACCTGACCTATACTCTCCTCATATCCCTCTTCCTCTGCTTCCTTTCGGCACTGCTCTTCATTGGCCAACCAGGAAGATTTACCTGTCTTCTCCGACAAATAACTTTTGGCATGGTCTTCTCAGTGGCTGTTTCTTCTATCTTGGCAAAAACCATCACAGTGGTTCTGGCTTTTATGGCTACCAAACCAGGATCCCAGATGAGAAAATGGGTGGGGAAGAAATTGACTAATTCCATTGTTATTTCCTGTTCCCTGATCCAAGCAGGCATTTGTACTCTTTGGCTATCAATGAACCCTCCATTCCCAGATGTTGATATGATCTCAGTGACTGAAGAAATTATCCTGCAATGTAATGAAGGCTCTGTGACCATGTTTTATTGTGTCCTTGGCTATATGGGTTTCCTGGCTCTTATCAGCTTCATCACAGCTTTTCTTGCCAGGAAATTACCTGACACTTTCAATGAAGCCAAGTTCATCACCTTCAGCATGTTGGTCTTTTGCAGTGTTTGGTTGTCCTTTGTCCCAGCATACCTAAGTTCCAAAGGGAGATACATAGTGGCTGTGGAGATCTTTTCTATCTTTGCTTCGGGTGCTGGACTTCTGGGATGCATCTTTTTCCCCAAATGTTATATCATTGTGTTTCGGCCAGACCTGAACAACAAGGAACAACTAATGAGAAGAAAAGAGTGATTAATAATCACTTTGTTTCATCCTCAGTCAAAAGTTTTAGTCTAGATTTTTGCATTTCTAAACAATATCAAATATTCATAGAAATATCCATCTCAGATCTTGATTTATATAATTTTTCTTCATTTTCTTAACGCCTAAGATTTAATTAAGGGGAAAGTATACATCCTACTTCTTTATATCAGTTCTTGAGATATTGTCCTGTTTTTTCAGCATGTTTTCTAAAAAAAACATTCTCACTTTGTTCCATTATTACTTGCTGATTAGAAGGAATCTCAATAACTACATTACTAGTGTACAATCATCTACCACCTTTCTGGAATTGGCCAGAAATCAATTAGTGAGATTAAAAACAGAGTAAGTAAATGCCGAAGAAGGCTAATGAATAAATGTTCTAATATTTTCAGGAGTTAGAATTTGATGAGGAGTATTGTGAGGAAATAACTGCCTTCAATAGACTCCAGGATTTTTAGTAAGAAGTGGTTTTCAAGAGAGCTCAAAAGGTTTAAGATTTAGATTTAAAGTTTATTCTATCATTTCTACTAATTCTGTAACTATCAACTATAAAGTATGGCTAGCACTCCTAAAATATAATCAAGATAGGCAATCTCATATTGTAGTGTTTCTCCTTGTCTCAGTGACAGCTAGATAGCTGTACAATTTTTCAGCAGCAACACTATATCTCTGTTCCATATGCAGTAGTTAAGAGGACCAGGCATATTGCTTTCAATTCAAAAAGGCTGCCAATCATTATCTGTCAGTTAGTTATAGCTCCACCATTGCTACAATTTCAAACAGATATCTTCTTTACAATTCAGCATTGTCTAGCTCTACAGATGGATCAGAATCATCAATCTCTACAGTTTATGCTCCACTCCACCTCTCAGAAGGAAATCAAGCTAGACTTGCATCTATAGGAGCACAATGTGAGACATTGGCTATTATACCCTAGGAGGTCAGTATTAGCCTTTAGACTAGCCTGTAGACTGGCAACAACTTAAGATATTCATGTTAGTTGATAAAATAATAGTTGAACTCTTAAATAGCAAGTTGTTATTCTTTATTCTTTATTAGCCAAATGTGATTATTATTATTATTATTTATTTATTGAATTTATATACCGCCCTATCTCCCTTACGGGACTCAGGGCGGTGAACAGGTGATAATAAAAACCACAATAAATATACACAAATTTCTGTCTAAAATCAAATTAAATAACAGGCCTGCTCTAAAAATACCCCATACAAAACCCCCACTAAAACATAATCAAACTACGCCAGGCCGGCCGCATAGAATAGATGAGACTTCAGGGCTCGGCGAAAAAGGCGCAGGTCCGCAACTGTACGTAGGTCGGGGGGTAGGTCATTCCAGAGGGCAGGAGCTGCCACAGAGAAGGCTCTCCCCCTGGGGGTTGCCAGCCGGCATTGTCTGGCCGATGGCACCCTAAGGAGGCCCTCTCTATGGGAGCGGACTGGTCGAAGGGAGGTGTTTGGTAGGAGGCGGTCTTGCAAATACCTAGGTCCATTGCCACGGAGCACTTTAAAGGTTGTTACTAACACCTTGAAGCGCACCCGGAAGGCCACAGGCAGCCAGTGCAGCTCGCGCAGGAGAGGTGTTACATGGGAGCATCTAGAGGCCCCCAGGATCCCCCGCGCAGCCGCATTCTGAACTAGCTGGAGCCTCCGGGTGCACCTCAAGGGGAGCCCCATGTAGAGAGCATTGCAATAGTCCAGGCGGGAAACGAGGGCTTGAGTGACCGTGCGTAGAGCGTAACGATCCAGAAAGGGGCGCAACTGGCGTAACAGGCGAACCTGATGAAAAGCCCCCCTGGCCACGGCTGTCACATGATTGTCTAAAGACAGCCAAGCATCCAGGAGGACGCCAAGGTTGCGGGCCCTCTCCGCGGGAGCTAATGACTCGCCCCCAATAGCCAGAGATGGAACCAACTGGCTCTGATGTGACGCCGGAAACCACAGCCACTCGGTCTTGGATGGGTTGAGTCGAAGCCTGTTCCTCCCCATCCAGACTCGCACGGCCTCCAGGCACCGGGACATCACTTCCGCGGCATCGTTGAGGTGGTCCGGGGTGGAGATGTACAGCTGGGTGTCATCTGCGTACTGATGAAACTCCACCCTGAAACCACGGATGATCTCACCCAGTGGCTTCATATAAATGTTGAACAGGAGAGGCGAGAGGACCGACCCCTGTGGTACCCCACAAGTGAGGCGCCTCGAGGTCGACCTCTGCCCCCCTGCCAACACAAATTGCGACTGGTACGAGAGGTAGGAGGAGAACCACCGTAAGACGATGCCCCCCAAACCCAACCCCTCTAACCGGTGCAACAAGATACCATGGTCTATGGTATCGAAAGCCA